TATGTTTTCTAAACACTATTAGTCATCTTAACGAGATCTGCTGTTTTGCAAGGTATCTACAGCAGAAGTCGCTTGGCCACACGTGAAGGAGGACACCGCTTCACCTGTTATCCACTTATATTGAAAGAAGCCATTAATGTCTTGACTACATTAACACAGCAATGCTCCTGCAGACCAAAGTAGCTAGTGACTAGTAACCAGATCAGGACTGGAAAAAGGCCCAACTTCCAGATGAAGGAAGTTCAGCCATTTAAAAAAAAAAAAAAAAGTTCCCTAGGAAGCATGATTTGGGGGGACAATTCTTTTCAAAACTTCGGCCCAACATGCTTAATTATTACCATATATAGGAAGCTGCTTGTTATTAGGCAGTGGTCCCATTATAGTAAGTACTGCACAAGCACATAGTTCCACAAATAGTTCCAGCACTAAGGATTATGGAAAGACTAAGGTGGGGGGAAGTAAACACACACCTGGGTTGGCTGTGTTTTCTAAAGAACGTTTTTGGTCATAAACTGAGTTTTTAAGAGCACTCTCAACACTGGGAACCAGGATACATCATGGCAAACTTGGTCTGACTAAGGAGTCTGAGAGCTCCCAACCTCAGAGATATCTCAGTGTTTATTTCTGGCTATGCAGCCTGAGTTTGGCTTGTCCAAAGATCCTTTTTTCCAGATGGGAAAGACAGACTTACTTCTAGCCAAATTTTAGTAATTTTCTCCACTTCACAGTTTTGGCAGTTTGAGCAGCTTGAACATACTCACTTCAGCTAAACATACTGATACATTCTCAGTGAAAAAGAAGCCCAACAAAACATCCATAAGCCATTTTTCAGCTCCTTCAGATTGAGTTTGTCTAACATTCCTAGAGAATAATCACATTGTTTTTCCGTTAAGTCTCGTTTTGATACAACCAAATTCAGCTTCCCTTTCTTCCTGAGTGTTCTCCTTATTCTGAGACCTTCATTATGTCTTCCTACAGCAGCGTTCCTCTGCTTACCAGGGCATTTTGCCTTTCAGTTATATACACTTCCAGCTGAGATGAATGAAATCAAGGAGGAACTGAATGCATGGCTGGCAGGTTGTCTGCCACTTAGTCATTTTTATATTAATGTAATCACACCTGCTACGTGAAGCTCTTAATGAACATGAGCAGATAACAGTTGCAGGATATGGCCCACATACTTGCCTCAGTGTTTGCAGCTTGCTAGGAATTGCATTTCCACATAGTGGAGATGCCTACAGTTGTTTTAATGATGCCCGCAATAGCTGCACATAGCAGTACTCACTCTGGGATGGAATTTCTGCATTTGTTCCTTTTCATGAAAGCTGCCTATGATTCAGTCATGATGATTTGATTCATACATTTGAATTCACTCCCACCCAAGCCACACTGTCACAGTGGTTGTTTCACAGCTGCTATGGCCAAAGGCAAAACGACAGCAGTAGGCTGGGTTTCCAGCATCACCTCTCCCAACATCACCAGCTTACCCTGTAGGGCAACAGGCTCCACAGCTTCGCAGTCAGCTCTCTCACCATCTTATCTGTCAGATTCTGGAAACCACTTTAATGTGAAAAGGGGTGATTTTATAACAGTGCTCTACTGTTATAAAAGCGCAGTTTCTTAAAAGACCATTATACTTCAGCTGAAGCCCTTGTGGCAATACCATGGGGGACATTCTTTAGTCACATGCCACATGGGTAGAGATTTCTCACTTGGAAGCTACCTCTGAAGTTCCTGTTCTGTATGCTGCAAGAGGAGCCAGATACCCATAACAGCTGACAGAAATTACATCAGATGATTTCTACAGTTTGTTTGTCTTCAGGAAAACTGCCTAGCTCTCAGTCTTGCTCTATTTCTGTCAGTTTTACAGTTTTGTCCATTAACCAAGCTGAAGGCATCTCCATGACAAGAACCACAATTTTTAGGATAGGAAAAGGAACATGTGAGCCAGACTGTATTTCTTGCACACCAGTGGGAATTCTGAGCAAAGCACCTAGATGGCTCTCATCTCTTGCAGCATTATCCACTAAAACGTAGCAGCAAGCATTGCATTTATATAAAAATTAAGTTACAAGAAGTTTTTCAGTTATCTACAAAATTCGGGATAATATCAGACAAGGAAATCTCTCTTTAAACTAGATTGTCTATAAATTTAAACTAACAACTCATTTTGGTAATTTGCTACTCATACTTCATCCTTTAATTACTTTCAGACAGAGAGCAAGCTTCATTTTTGCAGACAATATCCATTTTTATGAGTTCATTACTTCATTCACACCTTCGCTTTTACAGTTTCTTGGCTTAGACTTCTTATATGCACATCCCCTAGAACTTCTCTTTGCTTAACATTTTCTGTTGCTTGTCTAAACAAAAAATGTTACGAAGTTTGCCTCATCTGAGCAGGGCAAGAGAAGCCAGTTATTATGAAAACAAGTTTTCTGAACTCCTCAGAGGTTCAGCTTCACAGCTGAGGGACACTATAAGGCTGTTCACTGACACTATTTACAAACTAATTCACCTGGGCCTCTTCTGGGCCACTGAATGAACTTGCTTTTCTGCATCTGACTGTTCTTAGCACAGAATAGTCTAATCAGCCAATGCTTTCACCTTTAATTCTGGGGTGCTTGCTTCTATCATACTCTAAAAACTAGACCATTTACATCACCAGTATGTGGAATTCCTATTTGATTTCACTGGAAGTTCCACCTACAGAAAAACATTTGCAATATCATAAGACTTTGCATGAGGATTTTCATGGACATATATTTGAGTTGTGCTATTCTTTCTTGCCAAACAGCATGGGTGATCTTGCAAGCAACAATTACCTAGCAACACACACGATACAAACCTTTTCCAGGACAACCTACATATTCCCAAAGTTGAGGAAAATCTTAATTAGCAGTTGTGTGATTTCAGCTCTTATTCCCCTTATATTGACAGTACAATGCTTCCAGATTACACAGATGGTGACAGAATAGGACGAACTTGGCTACACTGAGATGGAGGAGTGTAAACCCTTGGCAAGAACATCTCTTTGGAAGGTAAGGGCATATACCTTAATACTGAACCCATATGACACAGCAAGTTCCAAGGATAAGCCAGACACAGCATTTACAGATACGTGTTGCTTCTTGGAGAATCCAGCTGTAAGAGTAAAGCAAAGTGCACAACCGCAAAACGCATTAGCATCACTGGGGCTTTACAAACTGAGAATGTTAATTAACAGTGCTAGCTGCAGGCACCTTAATGAAAAGCAGCAGTAAGGAGTGGTAAGAGGCAAGCAGGTTTCTTTAATTTAATTTTATTTAAACTGCTATTTGTTGTAAAACTCAAAGAAGGCCTCTTTTTCCTCTTTGCACTCTTTATATAGTAGCAGCAGCTCCTTAAACCACATAAAACAAGTGGGCTGAGCTCTCACTGAGAACATTTCATGGAGTTTAGACTTGTCTGGAAGAGTAACACAAAAACGATTTCAACTCACAGGCTATATAAAACAGGAGTTATATTCAAGTCTTGAGCCACTACATCATTCAACCAAAAAACCTCTATCTTGGCCTGTTATATTGGGCTTACCTGGAAGAGAAAAAAAAAAAAAAAAGAGCTTGAAGCTTTGAAAGCCCCCTGCCTTAAGGCAAAGTCTCCTTTTATTTCACAGACTAGGAGATTTTGTCAGACTCTTTCACAAAGGTCACAAGAAAGATAACCTTATGCCCTACAGCCAGAATGCATCTCATGACTTGATAATTCAAGGACAACTGCAAAGTGATAGGTGATGGTCCAGAAAAACATGACACACTTTATTTCAGCAGAAACCCAAACGTCTTTTTTATATATATGTATAAGGCTTCAGCAATGTAGAGCAACACCAGTGCCTCAGCAGCCAGTGTATCAACTTTATGTCACCACATGATTCAAAGGGAAAACAGAACTCGGTAATGCTTTGAGCAAACACAAGCGTGACAGTTATTATTGTAGCAGCTGAAGAAAGGACAAAACCAAGGCAGAGAGGACACTCAGCACATCTGTGACTGAGAAGATACAAAATAACAGAACTTTCCTGTAAGAATGACAACAGAGATGAGAACTGCTGTGATGTCACCAGGGAAGGCTACTGGAATGGCTGCAACAGAAACACAGAAAATAGGGAATGACAAAGTTCAAGAACTATCGTCTTGGAGATCACATAAAAGCTTCAAGATGAGGCTACGGTAGAAATTTTACTGTCCATCCATTAAAGACCCTTGCAAAAAATTTGTAATCCTGGGCAAAGCTTAGTTCTGCCAGACAAAACCTTCTTAGGCTAGTCTGAAACAGAACAGTTCCTTCAGCAACACTTCATCACAGACCTCACCAGACTCTGCACCAAATACCTTGCCTTCTTTGACATAAAAGGTGACATACATCTACATGTAGTAAACAAAAACTGTACCAAAGCAAATAGAAAACCCTCTCCTGAACATGCTTATCCCACTTGTGAGAAAGCAACCATCCCATCGCAGTCGTGTTATATACTGCTGGGAAACATTCAAGAGATACACATTGCAGTCACCAAATCATATAGAGAACAGAATTAGATTTAAGCAAAATGGTGCTGGTCATAATCTAACTGTATTGGTATGAACTGCAACATAACTAGCGTGCCCTACAGAAGAATGGTGATTGCAGCATAAAAATTTATGCAATGGTGCCAAGAACTTACAGAGAACAGAAACACTGTGTCTTGGTATTTATATAACAGCAGGATACAGACTGCCCGTTTTTTTAAATATTTTTAGGTTGTTCCATAGGATGAATGGCAAACATGCATACAAACACCCCAGTTTAAATGTTAGTGCTCCAGAAACTCTCCATTGGACTTTATTCTTTCCATTTTCCAGACCACACTGGCAGGAAGGCTGAGCAGAGGAGCAGAACTTACAGATCAGTGTCTGAGAAGTTCCCCTGCTCAGCTGTCTTGTGATTTGAGATGCACACAGAACAGAGCATTTTTTAAGTGAGTCTTTAATATTTTAAGAGAGAATTCTTTATTCACAGAATGTGCAATAACTCCTTCCAAACTCTATGCAAAAATAAACCCTGAAATTCTAATGAAGATACAGGGGGGAAAAAAAAAAAAAAAGAGCGCAGCACAGCAGTGTTCCAAGAGAATACATAATTCACAAGTTTAAAATTCAAGCACTCCCTTCCTATGCCTGGAGCTCTCTTAAAATATTAACAATCAAATCTCTTCGGTAAGTGTACGGAGTATACTTTATTCTGAACCAGTGCCTTGGGAAAAGGTTACCACTTGGGGCATACATTTTAATCCCTTGTTTGCCCATCAGACCACGAAGAATCCTGTTGCGGGACAGGATTTTATCATAAAATTCAACTCCACCTCTGGCGTAGTCTTTGGAAACAGTAGCTGCCATTCTGTCAGCCTTGCAGTCTAGGTGATAGGTCATTGCATCGTAGGAAATGTAATAGCACATTAGTCCACCTGCGGCAGTTACGAGGTTACAGATGCTGCGAAGTATCACAGGGCCACGTGATAAACCCAGAAGGAGCTTTATACCTCTCCCACAGAGAAATGTGCCAGCTAAGCAAGTTGGAGCCACAACTGCACTAGCTAAAGGGCTACCATTCTGCAAATACACAACTTCTCTGGCAATGGCAAACTTCTGAGCTTTAAGTGAAAATGTCAGAGCTTCCTTCAAAGCAACACCTTCGTTGCTATCCCAGTCTACTTCTTTGCCATTGATCACAACAACATGGTTGACTATTCCTTTTTTATCCTCAGTTGTGCTATCAAAGTTAGGTGGGATGCCCACCAACGAGCCTGCAGGCAGCCAGGGGATTCCAGCACTCACAGGGTGGAAGCCAGAAGCTGCAAAGGCTCGATAGGAGTCAGTGGACTTCACATCAGTATCTTGAAGGACGTCCTGAAAGACACCACAGAGCCTCTGTGAAAGCTCAGCTGGCTGCCCCTCTGACCAGCACTCATGCAACAGTTTGAATGTCTGCTCAGGAAACACATGATAGGAAAGGTTAGCACCAAACAGTCCCACGCAAGAAACAGCCAGCAAAGTGATCTTGCGCTTCTTTAGCCACACAGATGCCTTCCGCAGGAACTGCACTGCCATAGTCAAATCCTAACCTGTTCATAACATAAAATCAGGAATTAAAATGTGTGTAAATGGGTCTCTCACCTCTGTAGCATTAAAAAAAAAAACAAAACAACAAAGCAGAAAAACATGAGAAGCTGAGCACAATAACCAAAGAATCATCCTCTCTTTTATATTAACAATACACTGTTACAGAGAGAGGGATACTCATTAATTCGGGGCTTTGGAACATAGGACAATTGATACGAAGAATTAACTTCTCCCTCTCCTCCAGTAAATTAATTTACTGCAATAAAGACAATAATAAGGCCCCCATACTTCCTTCTTCCCCCAGCAACCGATACACATTCTGTATTTACCCAACACACTTGTCTAGTCCTTGCCAGCACAATCCTACTGTTGCACTACATTACAGACACAGACTATACAGGTATTAAAGCCAGAAAAAGCCAATAATAAGATTAATCTATGCTAACCTCCTATACAGTACAGCTCCAAAAGCTGTAATCAGTAACTTCAATACTAAATTCAGTAACTTGAGCTTGACTACAACTTCCAAAATAGGATCACATTTTGTTCTGAAAATTTCAGGAGACAGAATTTTCCTTTACAGTTTGGTCTAATAGATAGTCACCCTATTAAAAAAAAAAAAAAACAAACAAAAAAAACCCAAGAACAGTATGTGTTTTTTCTATGTTTTTTGTTTTTCTCAGATTTCAACTTCAGGCAGTGGTTCTAGCCTACTCAGCAAAAACCTATTTTCATAAAGCAGCATGCTTTCAGTGGCTACTTTTAAAAATTTGAAAGAATTTCTCTGACAAATAACACATGCAATCCAGAGCAAAAACTGGAACAGAAATTGTTTCAGGGCAGACAACTATGTTGTGACTCTTCAGATAAGCAGATAAACTTAAAAACTTTCAAACTTGCCAACTCCTTCAGTTCAAGAGTCCTGCTTCCCTTGGGGAGTATCAGTTCCTTTTATAGTCTAAGCCATATGATGTGCTCTACCTAGAAAAGCTCCAATCTCTTAAAATCCCATTGACTACAGAATTCTCACTTAAAATGATGCTACTACAATGATATAAAAGTGAATTAGGCACCTAAATCCACAGACATCAGTGAAAATTGGATGCCCCTGTTTCCATTTACATCTTGCAATGTCTCTTCTCTTGGGGCTTTAACACATGAGCTTCAGAGAATCTTGCTGCAGCTGTTGAAGACATTAGTATTTCCAGCTGTCCTTAGAGGAAGCCGAGGTGGCAGAAGGAAGCCGTGCTTTGATACAGCCACCAAGGTCTTACTGTAGAGTACCATCAAAGGTGGGTTTCAGCTATGCTGCTGGGCTTTGTATGGCAGCAGCTGAAACACAAGACATATGCTCTCTTCTTCCACTCACGCTGAACAAGAGCTTCCTGCAGAGGGGTAGAGTGGACAACTGGGGCTGTAACATCATAAAACAGCACTGCATGACGTGCCAGGATACACCAGTCATGATCAACAGCAAATGAGTATTAACCACAGGAAAACAAAAAGGGATTAAACTAAAGGTGGTGTTTTAATGATATGTTATTACTACTCCTTCCTATGAAGCTCTTTCAGACTGTAAATTCACCAGGGGGAGAACTATCTTGTTTAATGTTTATACTGCACTGAACACATACTGAGTGCTTAATAAAAACAACAATGCATGTAAGTATACAATAATTTAGTATGTATTTCTTAGCGTAATAAGTGGTGGTATTCTTACATTCTGCTGAAGACCGGAGGTGGTGATTTGTTTGACAAAATTATTTAAGAAAAACATGCTAAAGAGCCAGGAGCTTGGACAAAACCCAATTTTGGAAGAAAATCTCCTTGATAATAGAGCTAAAAAACCAGAAAGTGTTAGTATTAAACCCAAATGACCTCTTTGGAGTTAACAACCCCTCGACAAGGGGGGGTCTAGACTGGTAGTGTATATCTCATTGGAAAGGTTGTGCCATTTACAGTGCGGGGGGCAGCACTTCTAAAGGGACGATTGTATGAAGGCTATCACTTGATCCTCACGTGAAGCTGAGCCAAGGACTTCCCAAGTTTCTCCCGCTCATGTCAGAGAGAGCCCTCTCATTGGGGCTGGCTAACAGATTTTTTTAAGATTAGGAACACTACAAGGAGAAAATTTGCCCCTCACCTTATGTCCACACCAGTGTGGGGAAGGATAGACCATGCTGAAAACCAGTTCACTCTACTCTCTTGCATGCCTGAATGGTGCTTGCCAAGCACACGGGATGCCAAATACTCCTCCCGGTCAGTGAGTTGGGATGCAAGGAAGCACGCCCGGACAGGCGGGCAGGCAGCAGCCCACGGGTGAACCACAGGAAAGCCGGGCACGAAGCACTGTGCTTATCTATACACACCTCTCCTAAACAGCCATAATGGCAGGATACACCTCAGTGCATTAAAATGAACGTTCTTCCTACTTCAGTCATAAAAATTGTAACAGCTGCTAAGTATTAAATTTTTTAAAAATTAAATTATCCTTTGTGCAGGCATGGTTTCAAACCTTTGCGGACAGACCCCTCGCACCCCAGGCTATGCTCTTGATTGGATTATGCCCAACAGTCCTGCCACACACCTAATTCAAGAATAAGGAGGAAATGCCACAAAATATTCATTTCCTCATGATACTCAATACTCACGAAAATAAAAGGAAAATTGCCCTTGATATCTTTTAGCATTCGTGCTTTCAAATCTTCCCTAAGGGTCAGCACAGACTCTCAGCTCCTGCAGAGAATCTCACTGCAGCCCTAATGGCATCTGGCATCTTTATTTTTATTCATAAACTTTGTGCAATTTATGTATAAGGAAGGCAACCGGAAACTACGAGGCAATTTAGACGGACCATATCCTGCAAATTTAATCACTTAGTTCCCATAAAGCCACAACAACGTTTATAAGGTGGTTTCCTCCAAATGCTGAAATACTATTTATCTCCGTGGTGTTATGGGCACTCATTCTCACTTCCGTTTCAGAATTTTAACAGTTGAAAGTTCAAAAAGGGATATCTAGGCAGATTTTGTCCTAACACGTTAATAAATTTATTTTCTCTAGTTACATGTAGCCGAGGGGAAAGCCCAACTGAAAACCGGATCAAGCAGGAACCGGGGAAAGGGCTGGGCCGCCTCCAGGGCTCGGGATTTCAAGGCTCGCTTGTCGAAAAATAAACATACAAACGGGGGGTGTGGGGCGCGGCTAAAACCGGCTCCCCGCGAGGGGCGGGCGAGGCCCCGGGACCAGCGGCCCGTCCCTGCCTTCCCCCCGCCCCGCCATTCCGGGGGCGCTGCGGGCCGGTCCCGGCGGGC